GCCTAGATCACTGCCATAAGTAAGCAGGCCTTTTTTCATCTTCGCCAGGCAATGAAATTGGCATCCTACCTTTCGGTAGAAGCATTGGCAACAGTAATCCATGCAACAGTCACCACGAGGTTGGACTACTGCAACGCCTTATATGCCGGCCTTCCGAAATCAACAACCCAGAAGATTCAAATGGTCCAAAATGCAGCTGCCAGGCTGTTAGCGGGATCATCTATAAGATCCCGTATTACACCGATTCTGCAACAACTGCATTCGCTACCAATAGAACATCGGATCTCTTACAAGATACTGATCCTGACATTTAGAGCTCAAAATGGCCAAGGACCTTTATATCTTAGGGACCGCCTCATTCCTTTTCTCCATCAGTGGCCACCTCGATCCACCCAGGAAAATCTCCTACACATACCGGGCCCTAGGGAGGTACACCTGGAAGCTACAAGGCGTAGAGCTTTTTCGACCAATGCTCCAATTCCGTGGAACTCATTGCCTCCATACATTAGAGCAATGTCGGAGTTGCGACCTTTTGTAAAGGCACTCAAGACTTGGCTGTTTGGTTGTGCATTTAAGTAATCATATCTAATTTGCCAAATAGTCACTGTGGAATGTTTTTATGTTTAATGTTTTTATATTGTGTAAATGTTTTTTTAGACTGTAAGTTGCTCGGAGCACCTTGGTGGAGAGCGACTAATTAAGAAATAAAGTGAAGTGAAGAGTGAGCTTGTGTTTGTTGGGTTGAACACCCCCAGCTCCAGAAAGCTGTTCAAATTTTCAGTATTGATTTTAAAATATAAAATATAACAGACTAGTCAAAAGCAGAGCAACTTCCACTCAAAATCCTTCTGAATTGATCAGTTAATGACTAACTGCTTGTCCAAACAAAAAAGTCTACACCTCCTGGAGGAAGGAGAGCTGGGCTGGTTATAGAATTGAGCTAAAGGCTTCCTGGGAAGATCTCAAATGTCAAGAAGGTTTTTGAAGGAAAATACAGTCTCTTATTATAAAACCTTGTCCACATTTTGCCTTTTCTTTTTATTTCCATTCTGCAGCAAATATGCTTATTATGTATCATACTTATAAAGATTAATTTGATTCCCCAAAATGTTGATCCAGGCAAAGATAGTTACTCAACTTGTCATTCTCATGCTTAACTGGCGACAAATGTTGTACGCTCAGCTCTGAACCATGTGTTCTTATTTTGCACTTTAAGTCACATGAAAGAGGAATTCTAAACAAGTAGCCCTCACCCCTTTGTACTGCATCAACTCACAATGTGCTGTACTAAGTAGAAGCAAATGAATTTGACCTTGGCTTTTACTAAGATAATTTAAATTTATGCAAAAAAATTGGGATGCTCCAAGATTCTACAGAAGCTGGTTCTTCAACGAGACACTCACTCTCCCATTTTTTGTCTTGTTGGTGTTAAAGTGGTTGTATGGCTGGTAGTTATGCCATATGATTCAATATGATAACAAGAAAGCACAACCCACATTTAAAGACATTTCATACCTATGGATATGTTGACATGTGATATTTTTGTACTGTATATTTCCATTGACAAGGCATATTTGTATTTATCACAGCAAAGTATTCTGCTGAAATGCAGGAAAGTTATCTCCAATCACAAGAACATATCTTTTTTTCTCATTCCTGGACCTTTGGCACAAATGGTCATTTCATGCTACTGCATCTCTTTCCATAACTATGAGTATACATAGGTACACAACAACAAGAAAAAGGTTAGCACAGACATTATATACAGGGATCATAATTTTGGTAACTTCAGCTGTTGAAAAAGTATAATAGCATGAGCTGCTCCAAAGTTCACCATAACCTAATGAAAATAGGAACTGAAAGGCTGAAAAGTTTTCAGTAGAAATATCCTAAAACAGAAATCAAAAAACAGTGTACAGGAAAAGTAATTTCTCAAGGAGTATGCTGTTGAAAACAGCAGAGAACGTTTTCTACAGCTTAGCTACATATATGGAAGCTGATCAAGAAGATGTAAGGTTTGAATGAAAATTGGAATAACTACATTTATTTCTATTAAAGGATCACAAATGGACATCATACTAGCAGAATAAAGATGAAGGAGCTTTTAAATACTGAAGCACAAATAATGCTGTAATTATGTCTCACCTTTCCTACAATAAATAGTATTTATACAAAACCCTAACAAAACAAAAGGAAACAGTAAATACAGAATGCTGACCATTGTCAAAATAACTTATTAAAGCAAAAATGACAAAAAATAAATTCTTAAAACCAGACCAATGATATTTTCATAAGATGTATCTCAACTTCGAAGGCCAGACTTGATATGAAAGCTGCATATCTCTGTGAAACCTTTATCCACTAATTAATGCTCAGTAACTCTGAACTGATTCTTCAGAGAGGGTTATAAGTTTTGATCACCTCAGGTGTGCTTACCCTGACTTTCAACTAATTTTCCTGACTTCTTAGAAAGTAGCAACCTTACATTCGGGCACCATTCTATAGAGCAGGGGCTCTTAACCTCTGTTGTTCCATGGACCCCTCTGCCAGTCAGTGAAAACCATAGAATGCAGCAGCAGATAGTTTGATGGTACTCAACAATAGCATGTCATACAACAGTTTGTACACAACAGGATTGTGATCACACATGATCTAACACTGGGTGTGACAACTAGTGTAATTTCAAAGTATTGAGCAGCTTAATGTAATATGAAATAAATGCTACTGTAAATAAATGCTGGATTTCAGCTAGATGTCAGAGAAAATAAAGATACTAAATTGATATTTTTCAATTCAAGCTCAAGGACCACCAGAAATCTGTGGGGTCTATGGACACCTGGCTAAGAACCACTGCTACAGAGTTTGGCTATATGACTGGGTGTGTGAAAGTACGGGGCCCCTTCTATCTCCACTGTCCTTACACCCAGGATCTGATCCCAGACTATCTTCTTATCCCAGATTATGGGCACTTCTAAACATCTGTGTATCCCAGGAGCATCTGCGTTAAAAAATGCTACTGTTCAAATGCTTTGTCCCATAACCAGGTCTTTAGTTTCTTTCTAAAGGACAGGAGGGAGGGAGGGGGCAATCTGATGTCACTGGGAAGGGAGTTCCACAACTGAGGGGCCACCACAGAGAAGGCCCTGTCTCTTGCCTCCACCAGTCACGTTTGTGATGGTGGTGGGATTGAGAACTGAGCCTCCCGAGCTGATCTTAAACTTTGTGATGGTTCATAACAGGAGATATGTTCGGACAGGTAATCTGGGACTGGGACCGTACAGGGCTTTAAAGGTTAAAACCGGTACTTTGAATTGTGTTTGGAAGCTGACTGGCAGCCAGTGGAGATGGTGTAGCAGAGGCGTTATCTGTTCCCTGTATGCTGCTCCAGTGAGCAACCTGGCTGCTGCACGCTGGACTAGTTGAAGCTTCCGAACAGTATTCAAAGGCAGCCTCACATAGAGTGCATTGCAGTAATCTATTTGGGATGTAACATGAGCATGGACCACCATGGCCAAGTCATACTTCCCAAGGTATGGGTGAAGCTGGCGCACAAGTTTTAATTGTGCAAAAAAACCCCCTGGCCACCACTGAGACCTGGGATTCCTGGCTCAGCTGTGAGTCCAGGATCACTCCAAAGCTATGAGCCTGCACCTTCAGGGGGACGTAACCCTGTTCAGCACAGGCTGTGACCCTATGTACTGTTTGGCCTTTTGACTGACCAGGAGGACCTATGTCTTGTCTGGATTGAATTTCAATTTGTTCGCTCTCATCCAGACAGTCACAGTTGCTAAGCACTGGTTCAGGACTTGAACAGCCTCCTTAGTAGCAGGTGGAAATAGTGCTGAACATCATCTGCGTATAGATGACATCTGGCCCCAAAACTCTGGATGATCTCTCCCAGCAGCTTCATGTAAATATTAAACAACATTGGGGGGGGGGGGGCAGTACTGATCCCTACAGGACCCCACAAGTCAATGATTGTGAAGCCGAGTAGGTGTCCCGTAGCAACACCTTCTGGGAACAACCTTCAAGGAAGGAGCCACTGCAAAACAGTACCCTCAAGTCCCATTTCCGCGAGGCGTCCCAGAAGGATAACGTGGTCAACAGTATCGAAGGCCGCTGAGCGGTCCAGCAGAACCAACAGGGACACACTCTCACTCCAGTTCAAAGCAGATAATGTGGGATTTTATTCAGCTGTGTTGAAGGGGCCTAAGAATCAGTCACAAACACAACACATTTGTGGGACCACAGGAACCGCTACTAAAACTGCTCCAACTGAGGTTTTGTTAACAAGAGAAGAATATGAAAAAGAGCTGCGGGCACCTATCACCCAATCCATCTATACTGTAGAATTAACACAGTTTGATATCACGTTAATGACTAGGGCTCACTGCTATGGAATCCTGGTAGTTGTAGTTTTACAAGGTCTTTAGCGTTTTCTGCCAGAGTAGTGGTGCCTCACTAAACTAATGAATTCCACTGTTTTGCGACATGGCAGATAAAGCGGTGTCATACTACAGTGTAGATCGGGCACAGGCAAACTTCGGCCCTCCAGGTGTTTTGGACTTCAGTTCCCACCATTCCTCGGGCCTTTTCCTTTTCCCTCTCAGCCGCTTAAGCGGCTGAGGGGAAAAAGGAAGGGGCCCGAGGAATGGTGGGAACTGAAGTCCAAAACACCTGGAAGGCCATAGTTTGCCTATGCCTGTGTAGACGCATCCTTAGACATCTTAATTCTTCCATGCCTTTTGTTCCATTGAGTTTTCTAGGGCTGAACTTGTTGGGACCCATTCAGTTCAAACTAGATACGGCTCGGGGGAGGGATTCCAAACTGCAGACCAGAGAAAGAGGGGGAAAGAAGTCCTCAGGCGAGAAGGGAAAGGCCCCAACCCCGCAGCCCAACACGAGGCCCTGAAGAGTATCTCTGGCCCGGTTCGCGGAGCCGAGCAGGGAGATGAGCCCTGGCCTTTCACAACAGCCTCGGAAGCGCAGCCCGGCCTCACCTGCCTCCTTCCCCACTGGCAGAGCACAAGCGTCCCCGTTGCTACCCGCCTCGTCGGCCATTTTCTCCCAGCGTTGCCGCCCCCGAGGTGCCCGTCCCCTCTCGGAGCTCCGACATATCGCGAGAACTTACGCGTCTCCATGGGACGTATCGCGGGAGCTTCGTCTCACAGCCCGGGAATCGAAAAGGTGGAGAGTGATGCTGCGAGACGTCACGAATTCTCGCGATATTTGATTTCGGTGCGATTTGAGGGGAACCGGGCGACTGAAAGCAAGCCACTTTGAGGGATAAGCAGCTCGAGTCCTGGTTTCTATGGCAACTGGGTCTCCGCTGTTCTCCCACTCGTTGGCATGGTGTAAACAACCAGAAGTGTAGCTTCAGCTGGAGCCCTCAGTGGCGCAGTGGGTTAAACCCCTGTGCCGGCAGGACTGAAGACCGACAGGTCGCAGGTTCGAATCCGGGGAGAGGCGGATGAGCTCCCTCTATCAGCTCCAGCTCTTCATGCGGGAACATGAGAGAAGCCTCCCACATCAAACCATCCAGGCGTCCCCTGGGTAACGTCCTTGCAGACGGCCAATTCCCTCACACCAGAAGCGACTTGCTCCTGACTCGACAAAAAAAAAAAAGCTGGAAATAGTCAGCCAAGGAGCCTGAGAGGCTTCTAGTATAATGGGACGAAGGATAAGGATGCCCAGTGTCTATAAAGAAAGGATGCCCAGGATATAATTAAAGAAGAGGCCTCCAATATATTTGAAGCAATTGATAGGAGAGATGTATTGTAGAGGGCTTTCGTGGCCGGAATCACTGGGTTGTTGTATGTTTTTCGGGCTACAAGGCCATGTTCTAGAAGCATTCTCTCCTGACGTTTCGTCTTTATCTATGACAAGCATCCTCTGAGGTTGTGAGGTCCTCTGAGGATGCCTGCCATAGATGCAGTAAAACATTAAAACATCTGGGCAACATCCTTGCTTGCAGACTGCCAATTCTCTCACACCAGAAGTCTCTCTCTCTCTCACACGCACACAATAATAATAATAATAATAATAATGTATTGTCAAAGGCTTTCATGGCCAGATCTTTTTCTAAGATACACAAAGACACTCGCTGGAACACCCCAGCAAGTGAGAGTCCAAAAGTGGCAGGCTCAAACCCAGAAGTTCAACCAATGGCTGATACCAAATGAGAGACTCCCTCCTGGGCACACAGAAAATTGGGCGACTTGGAAGGCGTTGAAACGTCAGGAGAAATGCCTCTAGAACATGGCCCTATAGCCTGAAAAACCCACAAAAACCTAGTGATTCCAGCCATGAAAGCCTTCGACAATACATAGGCGCTGAACAGACTGCGTTCTGGCACCATGAGATGCAGAGCCAATCTTAAGAAATGGGGCTACAAAGTGGAATCCACGACATGCGAGTGTGGAGAAGAGCAAACCACTGACCACCTGCTGCAATGCAGTCTGAGCCCTGCTACATGCACAATGGAGGACCTCCTTGCGGCAACACCAGAGGCACTCCAAGTGGCCAGATACTGGTCAAAGGACATTTAATCAACTACCAAGCTTGCAAATTCTGTGTTCTCTCTGTTTGTTTTTGTTAAAAATGTAATACAAATGTCTGGTTGCTGATGACACGATAAATAAATAAAAATGGCCAGAATCACTGGATGTTGTAGGTTTTTCGGGTCAGAGGTTGTGAGGATGCATCAGAGGTTGTGAGGATGCCTGACATAGATGCAGGCAAAACGTCAGGAGAGAAAGCTTCTAGAACATGGCCATATAGCCCGAAAAATCAACAACCATTGATAAGAGAGAGCTTGGATCTCAAGCAGAACAAGCACCAGGTATGGGCCCTCTGGGTGTTTTGGACTCCAACTCCCACCATTCCTATCAGCCGCAGGCCCTTTCCTTTTCCCCTTCAGCCAAAAGGAAGGGGCCTGAGTCTGTTAGGAATGGTGGGAGTTGGAGTCCAAAACACCTAGAGGGCCCAAGCTTAATCTACAGTGTTGAATTCATGCAATTTGATTCCACCTCTAACAGCCAGGACTCCTGGGATCTGTAACTTGGCGAGGCCCCAGCACTCTTTGACAGAGGGGGCCCAAGGCCTTGTAAAACTACAACTCCCCTGATTCCACAGCATTGAGTTAAAGCCGGTGTTAACTCGCACTAATTCGGCAGTATAGATGTACCCTTGTAGGACAATAAAGATAACATAGAACGGCATATACGTTTGCCGCAGGAGCGAGGAGGACTAAAAGACCTGAGGGCGAGCCTGTGTTCTGGCCTCTTGCCCTCGCTCAAGATGACGGCAGCGGCTTCACGGGGGGGGGGGGGAAGAGATCACGTGACCCTGCCTCCGCCGCTCCCATTCCAGTTGAGGGAAGGGAACCAGCGGGCGCCACCTTGAATGAGGGCAAAGGACTGTTTCTCTCCCTCTCTTTCTGTGCCGCTGCTGCTGTCGGTGCCGCCCCAACCATTAAGGCCGCAGAGGCGCCAGGGTCGTGTGGCCCTGTGGCACGGGAGGGCGAGGGCCGAAACTCCGCGTGGGCGGAGGCTGGGGCCGGTGAGTACTCTTCCCCACCCCGCCTGCTCCAGCCTCTCATGGGCTCGCTGTATTGCTACCGAAGGACTTTTGAAACAGCAGTTTCAAACCGGTATTCAAGGAAGTGCGTTTGCTCTCTGCGTAAGTCTGAATCAAGGAAAGCCGTGTGAGGCCCGGATGGGGATTGACACAAGCCACACAGCACTGGTGCGCTTTTAGGGCCGTTTTTGGCGCGCTTTTTTGGGGTGGGAGTCTGTTGTATGAGGCTAGCTTCGAACTGCATTCAACGATCAGAATGGCCTGCTGTTTCTAACAGCTACCCATCCACAGAGGCTGAGGGCTCTTCCAAAAGTTGCCAGTCTTGAAGTAGGATTTGAAGCTGGCATTCCTAACCTCCATCATGCATACAGCAGGCATGGGCAAACTTGGGGCCTCCAGGTGTTTTGGACTTCAACTCCCACAATTCCTAACAGCCTCAGGCCCCTTCCTTTTGCCCCTCAGCCGCTTAAGCGGCTGAGGGGCAAAAGGAAGGGGCCTGAGACTGTTAGGAATTGTGGGAGTTGAAGTCCAAAACACCTGGAGGCTCCAAGTTTGCCATTGAGTGATATAGAATGACAAAATCTTCCTCATATTTGAGATGCCTGCTTTTGGGTGATCTGTCCAAGTCACCTATGGATTTATGGTGAACCCATTAATTTCATAGAATATTCCTATACAGAGAGTTGCTTTTGACAGTTCCTTCCTCTGAAATACAACCTGGAACATTTGGTCTTTGTTGGTCTCCCATCCAGTTCTGGCCCTGCTTAGCTTCTTAGATCAGGCAGGAGCAAGTGTCTTTAGGGTAGTGGTTCCCAACCTTTTTTTGACCAGGGACCACATTGACCAGGGACCACTCTTCAACATTAGTACCAAAAGGGTTACCAATCAGTTTCTGATCAACTTTAGATTTGGTTTAGGGTGCTGATTCAGGAAATTGCATTGGATAGGGAACATCAGGTCTAGTTTCTGATACAGAACATATGTCACGGACAGCAACAGGGAAGGTGTGGCAAATTTATTTTCTGCCCTTCTCACCCCAAAGGGGACTCAGGGCGGAGCACAGCATATACACGGCAAACATTCAATGCCGGAACACAAATTCACATACAATACATAAACATTAAAAAACATCAAAATATTAAAATAAACCATTTTTCCCCCAATGGCTGTCTTTATTAGGGCTAGATACAAAGGAGAGGGAAGGTGCCTTGTAGTTTTAACAGTCGCACAGATTTCAGCTATATCTGCCAACTCATTTCATAGGATTGTCTCCTAGGTCAGGGATGCATACTTGGAGTTGGTTTTGCCAATCTTTTTTTTTTTTCAAATGTAGCCTACAGGAATCGCTGGTTGTCTCCCATCCAAGTACTAGCCAGGGCCATCCCTGCTTAGCTTCCAAGGTCAAGTAGGATCTGGTGCCGCTAGGGCAGGGGTCCTCAAACTTTTTAAAGAAGGGGCTGGTTCACGGTCCCTCATATTGTTGGGGGGACGGACGGACTATAATTTGAAAAAAAGTGAACAAATTCCTATGCACACTGTACATATCTTATTTGTACTGCAAAAAACCAGAACAATACAATATTTAAAATGAACAATTTTAGCCAGCATAAGCTTACCAGTATTTCAGTGGGAAGTGTGGGCCTGCTTTTGCCTGTCAAATTAATTAGCGTTGTTCTGTGCCTTCAAGTAGTTTCAGACTTAGGCCAACTCTTAGCCTAAAATTTAGGGCAGGGGCCGGGTAAATGACCATCTGGTCTGCAGGCCTTAGTTTGGGGATCACTGCTTTAGGGTTTGGCACTGGTTATTTTAAGCCTATCTTTATTTGGAGTTTATCAGGGCTAGATACAATAGAGAGAGTTTTCCTGTGACTTCAACAGTGTAAAAGAGGGGATTTCAACTGTACCTGAAATCTATTATCTGTCCTTCCCTTCCACTTTGACTCACTCCTCTCTCTTGGCATGTATTACAGGAGCTTTATCCTCTTTTTTTGCACATATCTAATCTAATGTCCTGTAGATTAATTCTGTTTGTATCGAATAATTCTAAAGTATTCAGAATACATTGTTTCAACAGACAAGATGGATTCCATAATGTGAGAAAACACTCTAAACTGGAATATAGTATTTGGGAAGCTGTTCCTCTGTACCAATTTCTTCAACTGTGTATCCTGACCCCAAATGGGGTCCCCTTAGCCCAATGCTGAGGTCATGAAAAATTTTGCAACTGTAAAGGTTTCATAACGCCACCAGTTTACACAACTCTGTTAGCAACAGTGTGCCGTGTTTATAGTGGACTTTGCAGAAAATGCTTCAGCTCTATTGCAACTGCATGTTTAATTTTTATATCTTTTCTACAAACTATCAAGCCTTGTTTTTCTCTGTTCTTCATCTTGCTGGTTGCAGTTATCTTTGCATTCTTTGATTTAGCCTTTTAAAAGTCTATTTAAGGCTGTATACCCTGTCATACTAGTGCTACGGTATAATCTGCCTTAATTGTGGGCATGTATGTTAAAGGGTATTTGGTCTCTTTAGGATAGTTTGTGATGTGCCAGGTGCAACTAGGAAAGCATATTTGTAGCATAGAAAAACCAAGGAGCACAGAACAGCATTCCTGTAATTCTCACATAAAGCAGTGTTTTATGTAGGAAAGTATTATTCCAGTATGCATCTTTGTCAGGAACATTTATATCTGAAGTGGTGAGTTTCAGAAGTGTTTTAGGTTTTGGAATTTTGCATATACATAATGAGATATTTTGGAGATAAGATGCAAGACTAATCATGAAATTAATTTGTTTCACATGCAGTTTGTGCACATAACCTAAAGGCAAAATACATCATTTTAATTAATTTTGTGCATGAAATAAAGTTTGTGTACATTGAACCAAAAGAAAACAAATGTTACTGTCTTAGCCATCCAGTGTTGGATTTTGGAGCATTTTGAATTTTTGTATAAAGGATACCCAACCGGTTTTTTAAAATAAGATATGTAATATAATAATAATGAACTTCTTAAAAAGGGATAGCAGATAATGTCATATGAGGTTATCAGTAGGTTTGATTCCACACAAATTCAAAACAGTTGAATTCTATGGTAGTGAGTTAGGGAACCCAAATGCATAATAGTAGCTAATTAGAAAGAAAGTATCAGTTAAAGCAATGGTTCTGAGAACCACCGAGTTAAAGGATTTCCTGGCAAATAAGGTCCTTGAAATATAGCTGCTTGTCTGGTTTTGCTGGCTGAGGTTCAGTCTAAGAGGGAGGACGTGTGAGGGAAACTCCTTAAAATATGTATTAAATCTGGATTTACACCTGACTGATTGGATGCTAGAAAGTATTAAAGCTTCCTTTAAAAGAAGCTATGTTTAGCTTCTAATACCACTGTTTTGAACAAGGTCTTCAAATAAGCAGTAGTTCTTTAATTCCAGTTACCTAGCTGTTGCTGTTTATCTGGCATTACAGGATGCAAAAATCATTATCTGTTGCTAATTAATTTAAAGTTCTGGGATAGGTTGTTTGAAGTTTGTGATTAATTATTTGTTTTTTGAGGTTTACTGTCTATACTCATGTATACAAATTTTAGTCAAAAAATGATTTTAAAAAAACAGCATATGTCTCGACAAGACGGAGGTCCAGTCGGTTTGAAGATAAGTCAAATTGACCTGGCATGCTTCACTGAAACTTGACTGCGGGATAATAATGGTCCAAACCAGGCCCAGGCCCTCCCATCAGGAAGCAGGTGAGGAAACGTGGGCGGGGTAGCTGTAGTCTATAAAGATCATCTTAACTGACTAGACTATCAACTAGGGAGCTGAATCACCTTGTGTGTGTGTACCTGAGTTTGAAAACCAGGGATAGACTGGGGATTTTGTTAGTGTACTGTCTAACTGACTTCCTGGCCAAGCTCACAGAACTGGTCTCAGGGGTGTTGTTGGAATTACCCAGATTTTTGTTTCTGGGTGACTTCAATATTCCACTGGAGGCTACTTTATCAGGTGTTGCTTGGGAGTTCATGGTATCCATGACAAACATGGGTCTAGCCCAATTGGTTTCTGGACTAACAAACTCAGCAGGTCTTGATGCGATTTTCAGTTTGGAAGATATGGATCTGCAGGTGGAAGTGATCAATACCTCAGAGTTGTCATGGACATATCACTTTCCGATCAGGGCTAGTATCCCAGCTACAATCTACAGGAAGACCTTTTAAAATTGTCCACCCTCGAAGGCTAATGGAGTTTTTGAGATTCCAGAAGACTTTAGCAGGTTCCATGGCTGGCACCACTGACGATCTCGTTGAATCCCTGGTCAGTAAATGGAAGCAAAATCTAATCAGGGCTAACAAACGCTCTCAAAAGGCCTCTCCAACCCGTTACAAATCAAGTTCACTGGTATACAGAGATGCACAGGGAAATGAAATGAGAAAGATGATAACTAGAGAAGAGATGGCAGAAAACTCGACTTTTTTTCGAGAAGACATGATATAGAGGGCGCCTCTGCTCCTATAGGGTGGCAATATGTGCAGTGAAGAAAGTTTTCTTCTCTGCATGCATTACATCTGTGGACTCACATCCAGCTGAGCTGTTCAGAGTGGTGAGAGGCTTAACTCAGGTGCCCTCCTCTCCAAATCCATTGTAATGCTTTTAACAACAATTTCACAGATAAAATCACTTGCATAAGATCCGACATAGGTCCCTTCTACACTGCCATATAATCCAGGTTATCAAAGAAGCTAATCCATATTATTTGCTTTGAACCGGATTATATGAGTCTACTGCCATATAAATCAGTTCAAAGCAGATAATCTGGATTTTATCTGGCAGCGTAGAAGGGGCCTTAGGCTGGATTTACACTGTCCCATATCCCGGGAACTGATCCCAGATTATCTGTTTTTCCCAGATTATCTGGCAGTGTAGATTCATATAATCCAATTCAAGAAGAGAATCTGGGATCAGATCCTAGGATATAGGACAGTGTAGATCCAGCCTAATATGATGTCATTGGAGCAGAAGCCAAAAGTGAGGTGTTCAGCAACTCCGTGAGTGGGATTACACTGGATCAGTTTCAGTTAGTGAGTACTGTTGATGCAGACAAGTTGCTGGGCCAGGTAAAGAGAACAACCCGCTTTCTTGATCCCTGGCCCTCTTGGCTGGTCATCCTGCAAGAGATGCAATTTGATCTCAAATACAACAAAATATTAATGCCTCTCTCATGGAGGGGAATTTTCTATCCTGTTTTGAACAAGCAGCAGTTAGACCACTACTGAAAAAGTCCTCCCTGGATCCCCTGGACCTTAATAATTACAGACTAGTACCTAACCGTCCTTTTTTTAGGCAAGTGATTTGGAAGGCAGTTGCCCTCCACCTC